TGTGTTGCCTTTACGATGGTTCTAGCACATGTCTGTGTGTGTGAATCGATGGTGCACTTTGAACTTAAAAATAACCTCGTGCACCTATAGGGCTCTGGGTTTTGAGGCTCAGACCCAGCATTCCGGCAGTGCTCCAGGTTGCTCAAGTAGACATGAGGTGTTTGGTGGAACATCAGCCCCACGGGTGAGGAGATGGCCAGGCCATTTTTAATCCTCAGGTATAGATGACACGGGGTGGAGTCGTTGGAGGGGAAGGCTTCTCCAAAGTCCAGTCTGCCAAGCGGAGCTGAGAACACATTGCAGAATGGCTATGGAGAAAGGCAGGAGACCATCAGTAAGGATAAAGCAGAAGGGTGTTCCTGGAAGGGGCTGTGGGCACCAGCGGGATGTGTGTCTGAGAGAGGAGAGTATGTGTCTGTGGGATGTTTCTCCTGACTTCGTTCTGTGTATCGATTTTGTATCCTGCCACATTATGTAATTCATTTATTCAGTCTAAGTTTTTGGTGGTGTCTTTAGGGTATAGTGGGCTTCCCTGGTGGCTCAGAGGTTAAAGCGTCTGCCTGCAATGTGGGAGACCTGGGTTCGATCCCTGGGTCGGGAAGATCCCCTGGAGAAGGAAATGGCAACCCACTCCAGTATTCTTGCCTGGAGAATCCCATGGACGGAGGAGCCTGGTAGGCTACAGTCCATGGGGTCGCAAAGAGTCAGACACGACTGAGCGACTTCACTTTTGCATGTCATCTGCAAAATGGTGACAGTTGTATTTCTTCCTTTTCAACGTGAACACCTTCTATTTCTTTTTCTTGCCTGATTGCTCTGGCTTGGGCTTCCAACCCTACGCTGAATGAACATGGGGAGAGTGGGCATCCTTGTCTTTTTCAAAAAGCTTTTTGCTTTTCGTGTTTAATGTGCTGCTGGCTGTGGGTTTGTCACACTTGGCCTCTATTGTGTTGAAGTATGTTCTCTCCATATCCTTTTTATCATAAATGGATGTTGCATTTTGTCAAAGACCTTTTCTGCGTGTATGGAGAGGCTCACGTGGTTGTTAGCCTTCATTTTGTGAATGTGGTGTGTCGCATTGCTTGATTAGCGGATGTTGTGTCATCCTTGCATCCCTGGATAAAACCCCCTTCATCATGGTGTGTGGTCCTTTTTGGTTTGCTGATACTTTGTTGAGGATATTTGCATCTGTGTCCAGCAGGAATATTGGCCTTTAATTTTTTTTCTTGTGGTGTCCTTGTCTGGTTTTAGTATCAGGGTCATGCCAGCCTCACAGAGTGAGTTTGGAAGTGTTTTTTCCTTTGATTTTATTCCAGCTACCAAGAGTTTCTAGCAGTTGACAGGCGATACCATCAGTTGCATGTAGGGTTTTCCTTTGGGCCTGAAACCTCAGTTCTGCACGACAGATGTAGTGATTCAAGAATGATGTTACGGCCTTGCTGGGTGGTGGGCTGGCTGCCCCGAGTGTGATGGGCAGTGGCAGCTGCTGGCAGGACAGCAGGGAAGAGACTGCTCAGTCTCAGCTCATGTCGGGGAGAGTTGGGTCTTTTAGGCTGGGTGTTGTCGAGTGTGTTGGTGTTTCCCACTTGGCTTATTAAGTGGCCCTTCCCCTTGGCAGATGAGAGTTGGCTGGCCCTGACTAGGACAGTTTGTTTTTCTGTTAGCTCCTGGGCTGAGAGGTCCCTTAGCCATCTTGGACCATTGTTTCTGTTGTGGTAGTGGTAGTAGGGTGACCTGAGAGCTTGGGCTGGTTTTCTGAACACAACAGTGCTGACCTTGGGGATTGGTGGTTGGCAGGGTCTCTGAGCTGGTGCTCCTTCTGGAATGCCCAAGTCCTGCTTTGTGGGGCTGAGACCAGGACCATTTTCATTGTTCTCACTGAGTTAGTGTGGTTCTCTGGTTTCTGGTTCCTTCGCCTGTGAACTGGAAGGCCTGTCTTCCCTGGATTCCTAGGAGTTGGGCCCTTTGAGCACACGTGCTTCTGGTGGGAAAGCCCTGGAAGGGTCTGATCCCGTCCACTCGCTGGCTCAGGTCCCAAGCCCGCTGTCTGCTCGTGAGCCGGTGTCACGTGTGTCCCATTCAGCATGTGTGTGTGTGTGTTAGTCGCTCAGTCATGTCCGACTCTTTGTGACCCCATGGACTGTAGCTCGCCAGGTTCACCTGTCCATGGATTTCTCCAGGCAAGAATACTGGAGTGGATTGCCATTTCCTTCTCCAGCCCCGTTCAGTAAGTGGGACTGAATCCCGTTTACTCGCCTGTCTTGAGTGGTCAATGCGTGTTTGGAGACAGTGGAAGGAGGGCTTGTTGAGCTGGGGATCCTTCTCCAGGCTGGGGAGCCCTGGGGCGTGTTGAGCACCTGGGCCAGGAGGTGCTGGAGACTCTGTCCTAAACCCGAGGGCCCCTCCTCTGCCTGAGGCAGAGTGCGGGCTTGGGTCAAAGGCGAGCCCGAGGGCAGGCGCTTGAGCTTGTCCGTGCTTGTTCCATCCTGCGGCCTTGGCGCCTTAGAGCCAGCCTCCCAGCAGGCTGGGCACAGAAAGCCCCCACGCACTCGGCGCTGCCTCCCCCTCCTCACCCTGGAGTTTCGTGTGACTCAAGTAGACGCTTCAGTCCGAGGGCCGCCGGGCTGTGTCGAGTCTTTCAGGTCGCTTCTGCTGGACTAACCCTGAGACTTTCTGAAGAATGTGTTGTAAAACACAGGTATCACGTTATCTTAGGGAATCGTGTGCCTCTGGGCCAGCGCGCTTCCAGCCCACTTGACGCGGGTGGTCTCTGACGTTCCCTCCAGTTGTCCTGGGGGCCCAGGCTGGGTGGGCCAGCCTCGTGTTGGCAGCAGCCAGGGGCAACCCTTGTGTGCTCACCTGCATAGAGCTTGCAGTCCAGAGACAGCTGCTGCTCTCGGCACGCATGGGAGGCTGGACCTTTTTTCAGAGAGATGCTGGTTTTAAAGCAGAAGAAGGAACTCCCCTTTGGAAATTGCCGAGTCGGTGGCAGATTCTTTGAACAGACTTTCCAGGGGCTTCGGGATCAGGTTGATTGATCTTGGAAAGATGGGAGACTGGAGACAAGAGAAGGCCATGCTGTCTGGGCCCGTTTGATTTTTTCTGCGCAGTTCTATGGCAGCATTTTAAAAACATAACAGAAAAGTAGAGGGAGTTGTGCAGTGAGCACCCACTTACCTGACTCTGTAGCTCTCTGCCCCACTTCACCCCCACACACCTGTCCATCCATCCATTGTATAATGTTCTGTGTCTCTAGGTAAGTGGCAGACGTTAGTCTGTTTTACCCCTAAACACCTGCATGTGCACTGCACCGTCTGGAGCTCAGTATTTGCTTGTGACTCTGACCCTGCTTATTATTGCTTGTTTAACAAACAGAAAACCTATCAGGACACAGTCGTGAGACAGCCAGTGACTTTAATGTGTGTCTTGTAAGCCAACTCAGAAGACGCATGTCCTGAAACTGCAACCTTGGGGAGGCTGGTGGAACCTTCCCAATAGTCGTCTGCCCGCCCTGCAGGCTCGGGCTGGTGCTGGACCCGCTTTCCCCATCCCTGTACCCCAGACCAAGTGGTGGCCGCGGAGCTGCTGTCTGGGCTCGGGTCCCTCTGGGCTCTGCTGCCTGGCCTTCCTCCCTGAAGTTGTGATGATGCAGCTCCTGCACTCGGAGACCATCCACGGCTCCCCCTGGGTGTTAGCTAAGGTTCTCAGACACAGAACCAGTTCCTTCATATAGAAAGAGAGCAGTGTAAGAAATTGGATTGCACAACTATGGAGACCCTGATCAATCCCAGGATCTCCAGCCTGGAGACCCAGAGGAGCCAATGGTGTAGTTCCAGTTTGAAGTCCGGCAGGAAGAGCCCATGTTTCGGTTCAGATCCGAAGGTTGGAAAAGACCAATGTCCCAGCTCAACACAGTCAGCCAGGAGAAAATTCCCCTGTGTTTGTGGGAGGGTTAGCCTTTTTGTCCACTTCAGGAAGAGCCCACGATTAGAGTTTGAAGTTAGAAAAGACTTATCTCCCAGCTTGCAGCTAGGCAGGAGGAGCTCCTCAATACTCGTGGGAGCACCAGCCTTCTGCTTGGTCCTTCAACTGATTGGATGTGGCCTACCACACGAGGGAGGGCAATCTGCTTTTTCTGTCAGATGGCAGATTGAAATGTCACCGTCATCCAGGAACACACAGGAATAATGTTTGACCAAGAATGTCTGCCCGCCTCCTGCCCCCATGGCCACATCCAGTTGACACATGAATTCTAGCACCACACACTGGCTATGGTGAGACCCCAGACCCTGCAGCTGGCAAGCAGGGCCCTGCATGAGCTGGTTCACTTCTTTGTGCACTTTGCTCATCTTTTCACTTTTTCACTTTTCACTGTTCACTCCACAAATACCTGTGCAAAGGAAGTGGAAGTGAAGGACTTTTCCCAGGGCATCTGCTGCACTGGCCATGGCCATGGGCATGCAGTGGGATCTCAGGTTGGCCTCAGGTGCCCTTTTCTCTCATTGTCCCCAGTAAATATACATGCACTGCTTTTGAAATAAGGCAGGAATGTGGTGTTTTTTGTTTTTTTTTTAAAGAAAGATGACCTGATTTAAATCTTACTCTACAGCCCCATTACATTTTGGATTCCACCCCTGGTAAAGAGTCCCATGCTTACTCCCATTGTGGAGACTGATGGGAGGCTCATCACCTCGCCAGGGTGACCACTGCACGTCTTTCAAGGCAACAGCTCCTCATCACTGGAGCTGATCTGCAGAGGCTGGGTCTCAAAATGACCCCATTATCATGCTTTCTAAAGACATTTTTACTCTTAGAATGATTTAGGAACTTGTAAGATTTACTTGAAGCCACATTTGTTTGCACGGCTCTCTTGCGAGCCTTCATGAGTGACCTCTTCACAAGCCCCACGCCCTGCCAACGCCCTTCCCTCTGATTACTGACTCTGCAGTGGAGGCCGGCTGACTCTACATTGAAGCCCTGTCCTCTCTCTGTCCCTGTAGTGCTTCACCGATACAGACACATCCTGGGCTTGTGGCAGCCGGATATCGGGCCGTACGGAGGACTGCTGAACGTGGTGGTAAGTCTGAAGAGCCTCAGGCCTGGATTCTTATCGATGGGACTTTGTCCACCTGCCCGAGGGGCAGGCCAGAGCAGTTCCCGCCTGACAAATAGTCACAAAGACTCAACGGGCCAGATGTTATTTTCTAATGAGCAAAGATTGTTCTAAGTAGTTCTTGGCCCCCCGCCACATCCAGGGACATCATGATGCCAAATGCCTTACCTGGTCCCTGCCTCTTGGACGCCAAAAGCCATTGATTGTCACAGGCCCCGGACACTCCCGTCTTGGGTCGTGCACTGGCCCTTTGCCCTAAATTAGGGTCTGAAAGGACAGGAGGCAGCATGGTGCCCTCAGAGGCTGGCCCTGGATGGAAGGCCCATGCTGGCTCCACTCCAGGGACCGCACAGCACAGGCGTGGGGTGTGGCAGGCACCTGTCCCTCCTCTGCAAGCCTGCCCCCTGCCTCCTCAAGCAGCATTTTAACTTCCCTTTATTCAGTCTTTATGGCTGGTCCCAGCAGGAATGGCTGTTAGATATAAGCTTCTTGGTGGTAGCCAGGAGAAAAGTCTTTTGGTTTTAATCTTTATATGCTCCCTGATGACTTGCCTATCTTATGTAAAAAACTAGCTGATCAGTTTTTGGGTCCGTTTGAACAAATCCAGACCTGACTTTCCTTGGCTTTAACCGGAGTAGGCATCGAGGAGGACACGGCCCTCACTGGTGTTCTTGCTGGCACAACTACAGCCTCCAGGACAGAAGCCGGGAGGGGCCTTGTACTGAGCTCCAGGCGGGCGCCCATGCCTTGGTGTCACTGTGGCCGGCGGTGCAGGGAAGACCAAGCCAGGGGTCCTTCGGGCAGCCTGGTGTCCGTTCTGCTTGCCTCTCGCTGCACGTACGCCCGGCGGCCGGAAGCCTGAGTCCAGGGCTCTGGCCGCAGCTCGGGTCACGGCTGGCGGGTCTGCCTTGCTGCAGCTCTCGGGGCCCCGGGAGCCTGGTTCATGTGGACTGCCAGGTGACTCTGGTGACTCTGGGTTTTGCTCACCAGGTGGGGTTTGGTTAGGGATAAATATTGCTTCATATTCTTTATAATGTGGTGGAAACATCTGTTGAGAAACTCGCTTCACATTTATTTAATATTAATACCGCCAGGGAAGCCTTGCTGTTAGAACGTTCTCCCGGGGACAAGCCAGACATCTCCCAGCGTGGGCACATCCATCCTCTCCTTAGTTTCAGGCCGGGAGGGGGTCATTGCTTTTCTTACCGGCAGTGAGTAACAGAGTTGTGTGTGGTTTTTTTTTAAGGGCTTCTGAAAGCAGGGGATAATCAGGGGAAAGTAGAGCCCATGACAAAGCACTGCCAGCTAACCCCCCTCTCAGACAATTAGTGACTGAGCTCTGTCCTCCTCTGTCACTGGGGCCAGAAGCTGGGGACTCAACCCCCAGGGAGGCAGGACTGAGCGGGGGGCCACTGTGTGGGTGGCAGAGGTGCCCCCGCCTCTGCACGAGAACGTGCACTTGCTGAGTGTGGTGCCCGGGGACTGCCCCTCCTTTGTCCCTGTCACTGCTTTTATCATGTGGCACTCTAAACACACATGGGGCGGCAGGGTGATGCCCAGATGCCCACCTCCTGGCAGCTGCCCTGGTGCCAAGTTCACGGCCCCTTTGCCTTTTCTTTTCGGTATTTTAATGCAAACCCCAGGCCCCTGTCAGTCCATGTTTGTGCTTCAGCGTGGGTCTCTAACTCTGGCACTCACACACGTGAGGTCTGACCACAGCTCACTAGAGCGGCACTGGTCCTTGGGTCACCTGAGGCCCCGTCCACGCTCGGGGCTCCCTGCCTGTCTCAGACCCACCCTCAGCTGCTGGCTCGGCCACCTCAGGATCTAAGCCAGGCCCTCCTGCTGCTCGTTGGTTTTGGCTCCTGAGTTTCGCCTGGCAAGAGCAGCGCCCCGATTCTTCTCGGGTCAGCTGCCCCGTTGGGGGTCGCTCTCTGAATCGCTCCTGCTCCTGGTGTCTTTGGCTCCCCACCGCCATCCCCCATGCCCACTTCGGAGCTGGATGCTCTCTCTAAGGCTTGCTTGGATCCAGGTCTCACCACTGTATTTTCTAGTTAAAAATTAGTTAATTTCTTCAGCTTGGTTTAGTATAGTTACCAAAACTGTGAGGTCCATAAAGTGTACCTTGTGGCGATTTGAGGCACAAGTAACATCATGGAAGGAGTCGCCCTTCCAGTTAGTCAAGGTACCCATCACCTCACAGTTTGATCCCTTTGCGAGGGGTGGGGAGAACTGTGATTTCTGTTTCTCAGCATATTTCAGTGATGTGACAGTGTTACCAGCTTTAGCCACCACATTTCACGTTGGGTAAACTACTTAAACTAGTTATTTAATTAATAATTAATTAATGGCAGGAGAAGCTGTGCTCCTCCTGCTGCTCTGGGTCCCTGCAGGACTGGGATGTGGATGCGGCTGGTCCTCACTGTTGGGGGGGGTTAGGGCGGGGATACTGTGCCTCACCCACCCCCACCCTCACCCTCGTGTGGACCTGCGTGCAGGTGGACGGCTTGTTCATCATTGGCTGGATGTACCTGCCTCCCCACGACCCTCACGTGGATGACCCGATGCGGTTCAAGCCCCTGTTCCGAATCCACCTGATGGAGAGGAAGTCGGCCACGGTGGAGTGCATGTACGGCCACAGAGGGCCCCACAACGGCCACGTCCAGGTGAGGCTGGGGCTCCTCGCTGCTCCCTGGGGCCCAGTGCCAGCTGCCTACTGGGGTCTTCCCAGAAGTGCCCCCTGCCCGGGTCGGTCAGCAGGAGTGGGGATTCAGGCTTGGCCCAGTCCTTCTGGGTGCTGTCGACGCTGCTGCCCCGCCTCAGAGATTCACTGGCTGGAGCCGTCCCTGCTTCTGCCTCCACTTAGAACCATTTGTCCTTCCAAGCGAGGTTCTTTTCTCCTTCTTTGCAAGGGTGTCTGCTTGGAATAAGACATTTCACTCTTGGGTGTGGGCCTGGCAGATAGCCACTCTCGAGCGAGTGAGCAAACGGGCGTCCTCCCTGTCTCAGTAGGAGAGTGCAGCTCTAGGACGCCCCCTGGGAGCAGCAACGCCTCCCCCTGGAAGGAAACCTGCGCTCAAGGGGGTCCTGAGTACCCTTCTAGGACTGCCCATGATCTGGCGGCCTCCGGGGCCCCCAGATGATGGGGGCATGGGAACGGGAGGGGCTGATGCACCCCTGCTCTGAGGGTGCCACTGGGGCTCACTGGTGACCCTCTCTCCATCTTGTGGACACTCAAGATCGTGAAGAAGGACGAGTTCTCCACCAAGTGCAACCAGACGGACCACCACAGGATGTCTGGCGGGCGGCAGGAGGTGAGGCCGACCCTCCTGTCCCAGGGGGTGATGTGAGGGTGGACGTGTGAAGGGAGGCCGCCTCCCGGGCTCATCCTCGTAGTGTGGATGTGTGTGCCGGGCTGAGGATAAACACGCCGAGTAGAAGTGGTTCTCTGACTGCTTCTCCATCGCCCCTTTGACAAGAGGCCCAAGGGCTGTGGGGTCTCATCACAGGTGTGAGTTGCAGTGAGACCAGAGGCTTTATCGGGATGAACCCCTTACGGCCAGAGGCTGGGCTGCCTGAGGTGCTGGGGGGTCCACCCCAGAGTCCCTGGGCAGGGAGCTTGCTGTCTGGCCCACAGTCACTCTGTCCATCTCAGCTGCTTGGGGTCTCTGTGCTGGCTCCTTCTGCTCCATCTCTCCACCTCTCTTTGTCTTTCCTCCAAGTGGGGAGTTGGAGGATGAGGTTCTTCGCGTGTCAGTTGAGACGTCTCCACTTAGCTGAGTCTTGCCAACCTAGAGAGTGGCTTCAGGCTCCAGGGGAAGAGGAGTTCTGATGGCTCTGAAGATAAAGTGAAAGCCTGAGCCGCCCTGTGCTCTGATGGTTGATAAAATTCTGGGCCACAGTGGTGCTTCCTAAGGGAGTGGAGGACTCCTGGTGGCCTCAGAGGGCAGGAAGGTGAACGGGCTATGCTTATCACTGTCTCCAGGCGGAGACCTGTCCTTTGCCCCTGCAGGCCCTACTGGCTCTCACCCCTCCCTCTGCTCAGGAAGGAAGCCCCACCCCAGCCCTTCTCTGCCCTTACCAACGCCCAAAGCCTGCTCTGCATAAACTGCATCCTGAGGCTTGCCAACACCCCGCCCCCACCTCCACCTCCCCACGTTTTGGCCCCAGACTCCAGTTCTGGGTTACCTACTAGCTTTGTGCCACTTCCAAGGCCACATCCAGACTGTGTTGGCCCCCTCAGGACTGGGGTGTTTGGCTTGCTCCTTACCTGCCCCCCCTCACGCTGCAGCCTTATCTCTGGGCCCCTGAGGGCAGTGCAGGGCCTTGTCTTCTCAGACCCCGGCCTTGCGCCTATTGTCTGACTTCCATTGCTGACGGTGCCTGCTTTCTTCCTGGATGGGATGGCGAGGCTGAGCCACAATACCCACCCCCATCTGTCCAGATCCCGCGGCCTGAGGCTTCTGGAAATCGGAGAAGGGGGGAGCTGTGAGGAGGAGCAGGGATGGGAAAGGGAGGAGGGGATGGCGGGTCCCACTCGCGGCGTGCTCGGCCATGCAGAAAGCCTGTGGCGCTGGACGCCCTCAGTTGCACACAGTTGGTTTTATTTTGCTTTCCTTTGTCTTATATACTTTCTCACCACCTTCCCAAAATGATACTTCCTGAACTGTCACCATCAGATGCAGAATGCTCAGAATCCGGAGGGAGAAGAGTGCTGACGTGGCCCCACCAGGGTGGCCTCCAAGTCTATTCTCCATCATCCCTTGTTTCCCTCGGCCTTTGTGATATCACTGTGGTCTATCTAATTTGGATAGTTTTTCTGTTTTTTCATTTTCGTTTGTTTGTTTTTTAGCTTAACTGGTATTCCAGAAACATTTCCCAGTCTCATTAGTATTCTTTACAAACTTTTTTTTTTGACTGTGCTGTGTCACATGCGGGATCTTAGTTCCCTGACCAGGGATTGAACCCTTCCCCCCTGCATTAGAAGCACAGAGTCTTAACCACCAGATGGCCAGGGATGTCTCTGCAGACTTTAGTATTTATGCAGCGTTCTGTTCATCATCTTGCTTTGGTGTAACAACAGTAGGTGTATGACTGTCCTGCAGTTGGATGTGGGGTTTGAGCTCAGCTGTTCCCCTGTCATCTTCTTGACTACATGCTCAAGTGACCTGCCCTCCGGGAGCCTCAGCCCTTGTCTGTAAAACAGGGCCCTGAGATTGCCTATGGTCATAGGTGATTTGGAGGATTGAGTGGTCAATGGCTTAGAGGCAGGCCTGGTTGGAGCCACCCAGGAGAGACGCTGGGCATTATTTTCGTGACTGCTGCCTGGACTCTGCAAAAGCGGAATTGTATAAAAGGCCCTGAAGGTACTCCAGATTGTACTTCGGATTGTTTTCATACGCTGTCAGTTTGCTGTTTACAGCCCACCGTGACGCATGGGGCCCTCTGCCCTGCTGCACTCCTGCCAGCCCTGGCGTTGGCTGTGGCAGAGATGAGATCAGTGAGCATGTGGCCTCGGGTTATTAGCTTTAATTCTGTTACCTGCTAGCTGTGTGGCTCTGGAAAGTTCTGTAGACCAGGGAAGGTGTTAGCACCCAGCTCCTAGGCCACTGTGCAGAACGAGGTGATGGTGGTGGGGTGTTGACTGTGGTGAACCAGCCCTGGATCTGTAATGGACTTCTTGTCTGATATGTTCTAGGCCCCTGTGTTTTTTTTGTGTGGATACATATCTGATGAGATAATTTCATAGTGAGCATATCTGTTCTGAGTAATTGGGTCTGGTTGGTATTCCTAATGACTGACCTCATGTGAAGGAAATAAGATTATGACGGGACAAGCCAGTTTCTTGGCTCTCAGCTCAAGTCTGATTATGTGCCGTGGCAGCACTGAAATCCTTGCTCGCTATATTCCCTCGCCTCCATCTTCATCTGTTATTTCTCTATTTGATTTTTTTTTAAGGGCCTCTCCTCCATGAGCTCAGCCATGTAAGTGGGAGGTTTTGATTTTGATGAAGTCTGACCTGTCAGGTTTTTTCTAAGTTATTGTTTTACCCCCAGACTGCAAAGAGAGTGTGTTTCTCTCTGTTGTTTTCAGGAGTTTGGTTACATTTTGGTCTGTGGCCTGTCTTGAATGGTTCCTGTGTGTGGCGGGGATCGCTTCTTTGTCCCCTGTCATTGTCTGGTTTGTGCCCCATTTGTGGAAAAGAAAGACTTTTTCCCTGTTGGGTGGCTTGGATGCTGTGGTTTAAAGTCCATTCCTGAGACACACGTGGGTGTTTCTAGGTTCTCTCTATTTTTTTTTTTTTTTTTTTTGCTGAATCTCTGGAGCGTGGAGATCCGTCGTGCTCACTTTTCTGCCCAGGCTTCTAAGACNTTTTTTTTTTTTTTTTTTTTTTTTTTTTTTTTTTTTTTTTTTTGGTAAACTGTCTTTGCTTCTGTTTGTAGAGTTAATTCTAGATAGTCACTGGAAACACTGTACTGAGTTAGGAACACATAACTGTGGATTAGCAATATTGAATGTACCGAATGAAACAATGAAGCACTAAATATCCTTTGCATAGCTTGATGCCATAATGAATTATGGGGCTTTGTGGATGCACTATTTATAAAAGTTTTCTTTTTACAAATACACTTACTGACCATAACTAGGAAGACACCTTTTAAAAAGGAAAGTCCACCCATACTCTCTACCCTGCCCATCCCTGTCCTATACTCACTGGGGGCTGCAGAAAGCAAACTCGGCCAGCACGGGGGTCTGATGCACCCACTCCCCCAGAAGCCCGACAACCAGTGTAGATGCCACCGTCTAGTTGGCATGGAAGCGAGGCTTGCAGCAAGTGCTATGGCCCCAGCCTCCCCGAAGGACGCCCATGGTCCCTGTGTGTCCTTCCCACTGAAGTTGAGAATGCGAGAACCAGAGCCCCGGGTGCCTCAGCAGGGAACGGAGGCTGGAAGCTGGGAGAAAGAATGCATGCACTCCCGTTCCTCCTGCCCAGCTTCCTTCTTCATGCCGTCCATGCGCCATCACAGCAGGCAGCCTCTCCGCGCCCTCGTGTCGGGGTGGTTTTGTGACCTGTGTTCTCTTGGAAGGAATTCCGCACGTGGCTAAGGGAGGAGTGGGGCCGGACGCTGGAGGACATTTTCCATGAGCACATGCAGGAGCTCATCCTGATGAAGTTCATCTACACCAGTCAGTACGAGTGAGTGCAGCTCCTGGCTGGGGGCGGGCAGTCTCTCCCTCTCAGGTGCTGTGTGCACAGGCCCTCTCTTCTCAGTGCTGTGAACACAGTCCTTTTGGGTGCTGTGAACACAGTCCCTTTGGGTGCTGTGAACACAGTCCCTCTCTTCTGGGTGCTGTGAACACAGTCCCTCTCTTCTGGGTGCTGTGAACACAGTCACTCTGGGTGCTGTGAATGACGGCCTTCTCTTTGGGTACTGTGAACATGGACCCTCTGGGTACTGTGAGCACAGTCCTGCTCTCTCTGGGTACTATGACCAGAGGCCCTGTCCCCTGACCCACCTTGGTATCTGTTTTCTGCCTGTCTGACCACCATCACCCACCAGCTGTGTTCTCACAGGCCTGGCCTGTGTGTTAGAGCCTCATGTTCCCTTCCCCATGTCGACCTTGGCAGCCTCATATCTCCCCCTGCTGTCATGCTCTCTGCCCTTGGACCCTGTCCTGCTGCCTCTGTTTAGCGTCTTGGCAGCCTCAGGAATCCCCACCCCAGGGTGTGCCATGCACACCAGGGTGTGCACCCACCTCCAGGGGTGAGTGGAGCTCAGGAAGGAGGGGTGCCCCTGCTCCCACGGGCCTTGGCGGGGACCTAACGCTGCCCACCCTGTGTAGCGTGGCCAGCGGGCGTGAGCCGCATGTTCTGCCCCCGTGCCCATGGGCTGTGCCAATCGTGCTCTCATGCTACCCCTCTTCCCCTGCACAGCAACTGCCTGACCTATCGCCGCATCTACCTCCCTCCCAGCCGCCCGGATGACCTCATCAGGCCGGGCCTCTTCAAGGGCACCTACGGCAGCCACGGCCTGGAGATTGTCATGCTCAGCTTCCATGGGAAGCGTGCCAGGGGCACGAAGATCACGGTGGGTCCCAGGGGCCGCCCTGCCGGGCCCAGCACCACGTGACTGTGATCACATCATCCTGGTGTAGGGCAGCTCGGGTTGTGCCCCAGCTAGTCACAGCGGGCCTCAGACTGTGGCAGCACTTCCCCGGGGGGCTTGCCGGGAACTTGGTGTCTCGGGTCCCACCTGGACCTGCTGATTCAGGGCCCACCTTTCACACAATCCCCCGGGGATTCTGAACATTTCCAAGGCAGCCTTTCCTGCACAGTCCTCAGCTCTGGCCATACCCCAGGATTCCTGGGGAGACAGAGAAAGCCCTGATGCTGGCCCTACCCCAGAGGCTCTGACCTAATGGGGGTAGGCTGGGTGGGGGGCTCCAGGAGCTCCCCAGGTGACCCTCTGCTTTATCACTTGGGCCCCCACGGCCTGTCTGGGCCTCAGCAGCTTGGGAACACGCCGGGAGGGCCGCTGAGCTGAGTGGGGGCCCTGGACGAAGGGCCCCTTGTCGCCTGTTCCAGGCACACAATCTGGGCTGGTGTTTCCGGCTGTCCCTCCCTGACCGGGGAGGGTTCGCAGGCCTCTCGAGGCTCCATCACTTCAGCTGTCAACATAGGGTGGCTCCCACCCAAGGTCTTCAGTGTAGGGATGCTTGTGGGCCCTCCCAGGGTCACCCGTGGGTACTGTCATTCCCTGTCCTCAAAGGCCTTTCACAGGAGGCTGCCTGCTCTGGGCACTGTTTTTTTTTTAAAGGACATATCAGATATTCCGACTGGTAAGGGGTCACTGCCAAACCAGTGGTAAGGCTGAGCAAGCACGCTCAGCCGAAGGCAGGACTGGGGCTGGAGGCTCAGCACAGTCTCTGAGCCTGCTGACGGCTGCACACTGGCTTCACAGGGCGACCCCAACATCCCTGCCGGGCAGCAGACGGTAGAGATTGACCTCAGGCACCGCATCCAGCTGCCTGATGGCGAGAGCCTGCGCGACTTCAACGAGCTCTCCCGCGTTGTCCTGGAGGTGCGTGAGCAGGTGCGCCAGGAGCAGGAGCAGGAAGGCGGGCCCGAGGATGTCGAGGGCCTTGGCCAGCAGAGCCCCCAGCCCTGTGAGGAGCCTCCCGCCGAGCCGGCCCAGGCGCCTGGGGACAGAGGGGCTGCGGCCGCAGCTGAGCCACCTGCCCAGTCAGGGCAGGGGCAGCCGTTCGTGCTGCCAGTGGGCGTGAGCTCGAGGAATGAGGACTATCCCCGGACCTGCAGGATGTGGTAAGGATGGGGGCGTGGGCTTCCGGGGTCCCCTGCCAGACCAGCACAGAGGCGGCCTGACATGGGGCCGACCCCGCACGGGGCGGGGGGCATTGCACCGTGGGAAGCTCTGCCCATGTGTTCCAGGTCCCGGGTGGCCAATGCCACTCCCTGGGCCCCACGCCGAGCTCCCCAAAAGCGATTTAGGCATTGGTGCGGACTTGACAGACAAAATCCATTACATCCTCTTCATGTTAATACTGTTGTGATAAAAGAGGCTGAATATGGGTTTTCCAGAGGGAAGCGTACACAATAGTGTTTCAGTGTAACTTCACCTGCTGTGAATTTTTGAAAGTCATAAAGAAGACAGATCTCATGTCCCTGGGAAACTTGACAACTTGCAGCATCTCATGGCTAGCTCAGAGCCCTCGGGCAGAGCCGGCCTGGAAGCTCTGGTCCAGCCCCGGCTATGTCACCAGAGCATCTCTACCCCAAGCTGAGTGTAGTAGGGGCTTTTGCTTGTGGGCCCTCCCAGGGTCACCCGTGGGTACTGTCATTCCCTGTCCTCAAAGGCCTTTCACAGGAGGCTGCCTGCTCTGGGCACTGTTTTTTTTTTAAAGGACATATCAGATATTCCGACTGGTAAGGGGTCACTGCCAAACCAGTGGTAAGGCTGAGCAAGCACGCTCAGCCGAAGGCAGGACTGGGGCTGGAGGCTCAGCACAGTCTCTAAGCCTGCTGACGGCTGCACACTGGCTTCACAGGGCGACCCCAACATCCCTGCCGGGCAGCAGACGGTAGAGATTGACCTCAGGCACCGCATCCAGCTGCCTGATGGCGAGAGCCTGCGCGACTTCAACGAGCTCTCCCGCGTTGTCCTGGAGGTGCGTGAGCAGGTGCGCCAGGAGCAGGAGCAGGAAGGCGGGCCCGAGGATGTCGAGGGCCTTGGCCAGCAGAGCCCCCAGCCCTGTGAGGAGCCTCCCGCCGAGCCGGCCCAGGCGCCTGGGGACAGAGGGGCTGCGGCCGCAGCTGAGCCACCTGCCCAGTCAGGGCAGGGGCAGCCGTTCGTGCTGCCAGTGGGCGTGAGCTCGAGGAATGAGGACTATCCCCGGACCTGCAGGATGTGGTAAGGATGGGGGCGTGGGCTTCCGGGGTCCCCTGCCAGACCAGCACAGAGGCGGCCTGACATGGGGCCGACCCCGCACGGGGCGGGGGGCATTGCACCGTGGGAAGCTCTGCCCATGTGTTCCAGGTCCCGGGTGGCCAATGCCACTCCCTGGGCCCCACGCCGAGCTCCCCAAAAGCGATTTAGGCATTGGTGCGGACTTGACAGACAAAATCCATTACATCCTCTTCATGTTAATACTGTTGTGATAAAAGAGGCTGAATATGGGTTTTCCAGAGGGAAGCATACACAATAGTGTTTCAGTGTAACTTCACCTGCTGTGAATTTTTGTAAGTCATAAAGAAGACAGATCTCATGTCCCTGGGAAACTTGACAACTTGCAGCATCTCATGGCTAGCTCAGAGCCCTCGGGCAGAGCCGGCCTGGAAGCTCTGGTCCAGCCCCGGCTATGTCACCAGAGCATCTCTACCCCAAGCTGAGTGTAGTAGGGGCTTGGCTGGGAGGGGTGCATCCGTCCCCTGGCCCTGCTGCAAAGCCTGTGCAGCACATGTGTCTGTGTGTCCAAGCTTGGTGCCCAGAAGCCATCAGAGCCGCAGGCCCTCGGGCGCAGGGCTGCTGTCCCCTCCCGCCCAGCAGAGCCTCAGTGCGGCAGGCAGAGGTGAGGTCCTGGGCATTATTCCACACAACGGGAGGGTCAGGCCAGTCCTAACTCCTCGTCATCTGTCAGAAATATTGAGTTCTTTGCAAGAGACATAAACACATTAGAGCCCATGTCTCCAAATGTGGCTGTAATGGATATTTGCAAGTTTTGCTTTTTACATGCTGATAAGTCATTGACTACATTTGAGTTGTTCATATGTGCACGTGACTATCCCGGGAACTGAGATTTCTGTTGCCTGGGTCTGTGCCATGAAGAAGTGCACTTTGGGGCAGCAATATGGGGGGGAGCTGCCTGGGACCCTCGTCCTTGCGTTGGGTGAGTTGGTAGAGAGCTGCAGTCAGTGGGGTGAGCCCAGCTGTCCGGGGCGAAGCAGCCGGCCTGCTCACGCCCTCTAAGTGAATGCCAGCCTCCCTGAGGGTGCCGAGCCCACCAGCTGACTCCGTGGATTGCCTGCTGCTGGAGGATGGTAGACGTAGCCCATGTGGGATGTTGGGGGGAGGGGGTGTTCCAGAATGTCCCGGACCATGAGGTGATGGGCCTGGGCCACTGTGCGCCTTCAAGGGCCCCACTCACCCTCTGTCCCTACGCTGTCTTATTTTTGTTCAGTTTCTACGGCACCGGCCTCATCGCCGGCCACGGCTTCACCAGCCCTGAGCGCACCCCTGGGGTCTTTGTCTTATTCGACGAGGACCGCTTCGGGTTCATCTGGCTGGAGCTGAAGTCCTTCAGCCTCTACAGCAGGGTCCAGGCCGCCTTCCGGAACGCAGACGCCCCGTCCCCGCAGGCCTTTGAGGAGATGCTCAAGAACATCCAGTCCCTCACCTCCTGACGGTCCGCCTCCCCACGGCGGGCAACTCGGGGCTGGGAGGGCAGCAGCATGCGCTCGGGGGGACTCGGCCAACACCCGACACCCCCCTGCTCGCAGGAGCCTTGGCGTGGCCGCCCAGATGCTTTCCACGGAGCGCACCGCACGCCTGCATATCCGCCAGTAGCAACAGGAGGGCTGAGCATGTCTTGAAAAAAACAACAGAACCGGAACAAACTGACCTGGAGGACGGGCCACGGGGTGTGTAGGGACTGAACTGGAGAGACTGGCCGTTTTCTAGGGAGAACACAGTCCTCCTCCAGGGAGGGTCACTCCGCATGCATGGTCTGCTGCCTCCAGCTCATGGAAGGGGTCCTGGGGGAGGCGTGCTGGCTCCACCATCCCCTCTGCAGGGAGCAAGCCGGAGGGCCACGGTGGCTTCCATGCAGCCTGGGCGGGTGGGGGCGCTGTGTGTGGAATAGGAGCTCCGGGGAGAGGGGGTATGGGGCTCGAGACCCACTTTTACACCTACTCGCTTGGATTTTGGACAAATGCACGTCACTCCAATCTCAGTTTCCAAGATCAGTGAAATGGGGCCGGTGATAACGGGTCACAAGGAGATGCCCACTGCAGGCCGTCCAGTAGCTCGGTGGCCCTGGTCCAGCACCGCCCGGCCCTGGTCCCTGCAGCACTGGGTGCCTGCCTGGCATCTCTCAGGTTTAGAACCGAGACCTGCACTGCAGCTGTTCCGACAGGCAGTCACTGAGCGCCCTCCCTGCTCCCCCGCCCCACCCTCACTGGTGTGAGACTGCGAGTTGCAGCTGCCAGTCTCAGAACCGGGGACAGGGCCTCTCGGAGATGACCCATGTCTGCTCCCCTGCGTGGTTTATGAGGTGCCACTCTTGAAAGGGGTGAAACATCGGGAGGGCTCATGCCATGTGTTTGACGCCCCTCTGCAGGGGAGAGGGCAGCTTTCTGGAAGTGTCAGGGGACCAGGCCCCTCCAGCGTGGAGACGCTGGGCGCTGACCCTTCTGCTGGCACTGTCCCCGTTGTCGTGTTGACCCCTGCATTTGGGAACCCCCACGAGGCCTGATCTTGCCATCCCCTGAAAAATGGAGCCCCGTGTGCCCGGGCACAGACCTGCTGGAGTTCTGCTCAGCCCTCCCTGCCACCTGGCAAGCAAGCATCACCGCACCTGCCTGCCAGGGCTGGTGGCTCCCCGGGGTGGATGGACTCTGTTGCGTCCCAGCTGCTTGTCCTTGTTGGGTTCCCCAGGGAGGGGCAGGGTGCCTTCATGTAGAGCCCAACCTGAGGTGCCCCATGAAATGTGTCCTGTGTTTCCTGGTAGAGTTCTTCCTGACCAGCTCTTTTCTCAAATAACTTCAGTCCCAGCTTCAGTCCATTTGGCTACTTGGGCCTTCCTTCCTTTGCTGCCCAGAAGCAACAAGCTCTGGGCATGGCCCTGAAATGCAAACTAGGCTTCCCAGGACCAGGACTCTGGGGTCCACCCTGGGCCATCGCCGGGCACCGTCGGCCAAGTCTCATCAGAGACACCACCGCACACCTCCCAGATCCTTCCAGCAGGACTCGCGGTCGGGTGGGGACGTGGTCCCAGTCCCTGCATCTTGCAGGACTGAGCCTCAAAGCCTGTCGCCCTCCCCCCTCTCACAGCGTGGCTGTTCTTCTCTTGTGCCAAGTGTGGCTGTCCCCAGTGGTGCAGCCACAAAGCCTTGAGGACAGTGAAAACAGGACAGCTGGGCGCTCGGCTGTTCCTCTCTAGGTTTCACCACTGTTTAAATAAAATCAAGAAAATGCGTGTTTTACCTAGAGCTAAGGGACTGTCTCTGTCTGAGGCCCCCAGCATTGTAAAGATGAGCACTTCTGATTAAAAACCAACCCCAAACTAAATGCTCTCCTGCCTTTAGTGTCTGGCCTACGCGTGGTTGCCGCTAACAGCGACTAAAATAACCCTGGGCTGCTGGCTGCGTTCATGTTGGCCTCAGTTTCGGGTGTCAGGTGGGGCCTGTGGGTGGCAGCGGCCTGGGTGTCGCCGGCCAGGGCAGCAGGAGAGAAGGGCGTGGGCTTGTCGTCCACCCCGAGGTCTCCTAGTCTCCCACTGTACTTAGTTTCCAGTTCTGGAAGCCCCAGTTCCCAGTTCTGTAGGTGAGGTGCGTGGACAGTGGCGGTTCTGTGCATAGATCCAGTACCGGCCACTCCCCCTCATGGAAGGTCAGCCGGCCCAGGAGGGGACCTTCCAACCAGTTAACTCACTGTGGGCAAGGATTCAAAAAGGCTGAGGGTGTTGTCTGAGGCTTTGGATAAAGCCGGTTCCAATGGGGATCTCTAATGACCCAGGTTAGGGACTGGCCATGCTCCTGTGGGGCTTGAACTGGGGGTGGCAGGTGGACCTCGGGCGGTCTTTGGATGTTCCCCATGGTGGGCATCACCTTCACTGCTACTTTTGCTGCTGTGAGGTTGGGTATGGGGTAGAGGAAAGCTTGGGTACCTCTCTGCATACCTGGAGAGCTCCACGCTCTGGGAGTTGATTAGAAACGTGATTGGAGATTTCAGACACAGGTCATGGGGATTCTTCATTTTGGGGCTGGAGGTGTTTGGTGTGAGGTTGTGGCAAATGACCTTATTTTTTTGGCTTTGTGATGTAGGCCTGGCACTATACCCAGATCTGTTCCTCGCCCTCCCCCTGTGCCTCCCGGGGCTCAGAGCTCCAGCATCTAATGCTGGGTGTGAACAGGTTTAGGGGCATTGTGGTGGGAGGGTTTCAGTCTCCTTCCTCTGTCGGTTCAGACTGGAGCCTCCCTTCCTAGCCTTGCCCTGGCCCCTCCTCTGGGACAGTCCAGCTCACTGTGGCTGGTGCTCCAGGCCGCTGCTGCCCGGCTCCTCCCCTTGTCCCCTCTGGCCCTGACACCAGGCCTGGTGTCCCCACTCCGTTCAGGGCACCTGTGTCCCTGGCTGATGAGGAGGGTGGGAGAGTGTACAGCTGTCTAACTAGCTACATTCCCACTGCCTGCAGAACAAGCTCAGAGGTGAAGCTGTCCTGCCTGACTTTCTCACTGACAACTTGGCGTCGTTCCCAGACAGCCAGACCCCTCCCTCAGCCAGCCGCCCTCTTGTCTGACACTTCAAGACTGCCTTCACTTTTCAGGTTGCCTGGGCTTTCTGCCACTGCCGCTGAGAGGTCTCTTTAGTGCTCGTGAGCCGAGCCGAAGCGGGTCAGAAACCTGCTCAGCCCCTTGTCATTTGGGGAATTCCCCAGCCTCATGACTGTGGTATCTCGAGTGTGAACTGGGAGCACCTGACTGTGACTTGGTAGCTGTGTTCTCCTGGATACTTTCATGTTTTAACTTTTAAGAATTCTCATGTGAGTGTTCTCATGTAACCCTCACCTGCCTTGAGGGTATGATGCCCCAATTCACGGACTCCATAACTCCATCTGCAGTGTATTTTGTATGTTCTCAGAACTATTTAGACAGAGAAGAAAACCACACTCTGTCAGTTTGCCTGATAATGTGAATGGGAACCACATGGAGGCCTGTGTCATTTACAGCTCAGCGGCCGGCAGGCCAGCCTTCTGGGGCCCAGGGTCACCAGCAGTGACACCTGAGGCTCCAGCAGAAAAGTAAGCTTCTTCTGGGTCCTTTCTGCGCTTGCAGGGAGACCTGCCAGAACATGCGAAGGGATGGGAACTTTTGCTTTTTTTTTTTTTTTAGCCTAATTCTAATTTTGGTTGTTGTTTGAGATCATGAAGCCTGCTTGGAGAAGAAAAACATTTATCCTGTTTGATCTTGAAACCCCACCCCCCAAGTGATGAAGACAACAGTTGAGATGGAGGCTGTGATCACTCAGGCATCCCCTCCGGCTTGCCGGGTGGGGCAGGGTCAGGCCCCCAGGAAGCTCTGACTTGTGACCTGGACTTGACAACCTTGGGGTGCTGTTTCTCCATAAAGCAGTTTTTGAAATCTTGTGTGCTTTGTAATTTGTTTCTTTTGCGATATGATTCAGATGGAGCCTGGAGCTCTAAGTGACATGGACTCTGGATGTGGGCAGGGGCCAATCACAGGAGAGTGGTTGTTGGTTGACAGAGGGGACTGGGTCACCAGTGCGGGGGTGGGGCCTTCCCAAGGGGTCTGTGCTTCTTACATCCAGTCTTGATAGTTGTGATTTTCCCCGTTATGGAACAGAGTGGTGAGTGACCCTTGGGAACTCAGACAGTGGTAGGCCCCTGGATCCCTCCCTTTGGTCTGGGACCTGTACCCTCTCCCCAAGGGTAGGGCTGCAGTGGGTTCTCTTAGTCTGAAGTCTAAGTAAGTTGCCATTTCTGAGAACAGAAGGGCGGGATAGATAAGGGCAGGGATGTGCTCAGTGGCTGAGCAGACAGCTGAGGAGCTCCTTTGTGTATTATTTTCACCTGTTTACAAAAGTAATATTCTTGTGAAAAATTCAAATAGTGTAGAAAGTAAAACTACATCATGTTCCCATCCAGCTGGGCCTGGATTCCTGAGAAGGGTTGGGGCTGAGTTCCACCCTCCATCTGGGGTGTTGCTTCGTTTCCCATCCCCGAAGTCACGGTGCTAACCCTTCCCCACTGCAGGGGGTTGCTTTGGCGGGCCTGGGGGCTTTTGCTCCCTGAGACCAGGTCCCTTTTAGCCCACCCTCTAGTGGGCCCTTTGGGTCACTGCATGCTGCATGACCCCAGCCAGCAAGGTGAAACCAACGAAGATGTGCCTCAAGGGTAAAGTTTTCAGACCTTTCCCCTCACTTTGACTTGAAAATCCGTAAGTGATGAAAGGCTGCCTCTCAGGCTCCTTCCCAGGAGAGGAAACTTGGGGGAAGGAGGGCTGATAGCTCAGCACTATTGTGGGAATGGTTGGGCTGTCCTTTTTTATTTCTTGGCTGTGATTTATGTAAATTTTTAGTGTAAGTTTACCAACACAGCTGTGAACAGGCACCATGGTCAGGATATAGACTGTTCCATCCTCAAAATCCCTGGTGCTGCCCCTCCTTAAACTGCTCCTCTGTTCTCCATCCCTATCGTTTGGCCTTTCCTAGAATGTCCGATAAATGGAATTACTTAGTATGTAGCTCTTTTAACATGGCTTTCATTCACTATCATCTCCTTCCAAAGAGCCATTGTAGACATTTTTTCCCCTAATACCCCCCCATGAAGTTTTAATGCCACAGACATAGTTTATACATATGATAAGACATTTGTGCTTTCAAACTGTGGTGCTGGAGAAGACTCTTGTGAATCCCTTGGATAGTCAATCGTAAAGGAAATCAACTCTGAATATTCATTGGAAGGACTGAGCTAAAGCTGAAGCTCCAGTACTTTGGCCACCTGATGAGAAGAGCCAACTCACTGGGAAAGATCCTGATGCAGGGAAATATTGAAGGCAAAAGGAGAAGGGGGCGGCAGAGGATGAGATGGTTGGATGGCATCACCGACTCAATGGACTTGAGTTTGAGCAAACTCCGGGAGACAGTGAAGGACAGGGAAGCCTGGTGTGCTGCAGTCCATGGGGTCGCAGAGTCGGACAAGACTGAGCAACTGAACAACGACAAAGTGTTTGCGTGGGTCTGTGTGGGCGTGGGAGCCCGGGTGGATGGCCGCCTCACCACGGAATGTCTCTCCTGTTCACAGAGTTCCACAATTCTATTGGAAGGCAAGCTCCCACGGGCTGCCATGAGTGTGGAGGAAACGGTGCGGAGGCCTCTCCTAGAGGATGCTTTGGTGATCTCAGGGCGAGTGCTAGAACGGGGTCCCTGGCACCTTGGGGGTGGGGGTGAGACAGTGACACAGGCAGTTGGGAATAAGAAGACTCTCCTGGCCTGGCCGCCTGGCCTGGCCGTGCTATTTCATAGTGCCCCAATGACAGTGAGAGAAGGGTGACAGTGGTCCTGTGTCCCCACAGCAGACTGCAGAAGCTCACAGTGAAGGAGGGAGGAGAGGCCAAGACGCTGCTGTCACAGCCGCCGGAGAGAGAAGTCTAGGTGTCACGGTTGGTGGGGTGATGATGAAGCCTGTGGGCCTACAGGAAAAGGGTAAGGTTGGGGGCAGCAGAGTTGATGGCATACCAGTCACCAGTGGGAACCTGTCACATCATGCAGGGGCCCCATCCGGGTAAAAAAGTGAGTCCTGTATTCAGGGCTGTGATGGTGGTAGTGCCTGGTGTAATCTTGACCTGAACCACTGTGCAACTTGGGTTCAACCTCAGAAAGACCCAAAAGTCATGGGACATGAGAACTTAAAAATTACAGTTCTTGCTTAAACTTTATTTGAAAATCATGATTTCACTTAACCCACAGGATTTAGGTTTGTGAAAACTGTCACAGGTCAGTTAGGCAAGATGATCCTGAAATAACAAGCCTACCTCAAAACCAAACCACAACTTTTTGGTTCTTCTCTGGGTTACCAGCAATACATTCTTTTTTAGGAATGTTCTCAAAGATACAGATATCTGTTCTCACACGGATACGTGTGAAGGAGTGAGAAGTGGCTGTCCTCCAGCTGCTGGCCGGGCTGGCACTGTGTGTGTGTTTGTTGGTGTCTTCTGGTGGACATAAGCTCTATTATCTTGGGTGATTACCTGGGGTGGGGAATTGCTTGGTCACAGGATATTCACACGTTTAGATATTGTAAATACTGCCAGTTTGCCTATATGGTTTTAATCTGTTGTGTAAGGTGTGAGGGTTCCAGCTGCTACACCCTCTACAAACTTCGTACTGTCAGTCCTTTTAATTTTAGCCATTTTTGGTGGAAATGGTGATGAGTTGCACTTGATGTGAAATGGCATGACAGTGTCACGAGTGGTGAGGGCCAGTGCTTCTGTGGCGGCTGGGGGGCATAAACCTGTCTTCTGTGTTACCACGATATTCCAGTGGGCTCAGGAGAATAGAGATGACAAGGAATCCCAAGGGCCCTCCAAGGTTGGCAGAGATGAGAGAGCCATAAATAAAATACTAGGCTAATGGTGAGATTCCTTGATAAATTTTGTCATTAGCTATTAAGAGACCAGCGCTGACATTATTTATACAGATACACAGGTAAGGGGTGGTGTCCAAAATAATTAGCAGCTAAAAGACAGAATAAAATAAATAATTAGTAGCTAATATAATGGGGGTGCTGCCCAATCAGCATGGGTGCTAGCTAGGAGAGCCTGCAGGGTGGGAACTGGCTGGAAGCTCAGCCCTGTTCATAGGTCATGAACTTACCAGTTCAATAAAAGAGCCATGAAACCCGAGTAGTGCCTGGGAAATCCTGTTTGTCCATGGTTAGGTGGCAGCACATGGAAATGTGGCCCACCAGGGCTACCGTTGCTTATGAAGGTTTGATCAAGTATTAGTATTAATTGAGAATATTAAATTCAGCAAAAAAAAGGGAGTTCTTTAGTGGTCTAGAGGTTAGGATTCCAGCCTTTCACTGCTGGGGCTGGGATTCAATCCCTGGTCAGGGAACTGAAATCTCACACGCTGAGGTGTGGCCAAAAAGAAAAAAAAAGTTAGCAAACACTCTAAAGTTTGTTTCCAAGAGATACTAAAATCAGTTGTTCTGAATTCCACGGCCTTCGAACCTTCGGTTGCTTCAGAAACACACGTTCTCAAAAATCACAATTTGAGTCCGATTCAGCCAGTGTCAGGCAAGGCGCCCAGTTAAATTTCAGCGTCAGAAAAGCAATGAAAGAATTAAAATACAAATACGTCCCAGGTCCTGCGTGGTACACGTTCCTACCGAGATGCTCCGCGGTTCTCGAATGGGCCCTGGGGCCGCGTCGCGCACCTCTTTCTCTCCTTCCAGGGAACAGATACCCCGTCTACTGTGCCCTGCAGCCCCGCAGGCCCGTCTGCAGGAAACGGTGAGTGTCCTCCCCGCTCCGCTGAAGCAGAGCCCAATCAAATGCCAGGTAAGTAAACATGTATAGAATGAAGCATCTTATTGGCTAATAGAGAGCCAACTGACAGCTAATAGAGTCCTGTCGCCGGAAGAGCCTGGCCTCAGAGGAGCGGGAGGGCGGAAGAGGTGGGCCTTTCGAGGTCGAGGGCGGCCCCGGGGACTGACGGGGAGGTGTGTGGGGCTGTGTGAGGAGTGGTGGGGGCCCGAAGGAGGAGTGACACGCGTGAGCCAGCCCCGACTTTCGTTACGGCTGTCATCTTGAGCTTCGTCACCGCCCTCACCATAACTTAGGAAAATCGTGGCGGGCATTTCTGGGAGCTCTCGGGTGTCCGTTCGGTCTGTCGGCGGGCACTCACCCCGAGCGCGTCATGACAGGCAGGTGCCTCCCTCAGTCCTGCACGCTGGGCCGCCGCGCCACACAAGGGACCTGGCACCCGAGTCACCTTGGGGGGCCCCACACCCAGAGTCACCTGAGGGGAATTCAGACCCTGGGTCACCTGAGGGGGCCCCGGAACCTGTGTCACCTGGGGAACACCGACCCTGAGTCAGCTGGGGCACCCCAGATCCTGAGTCACCTGAGGCGATCTGGACCTCGAGTCCACTGGGAGGCCACAGACCCTGAGTCACTTAGGGGGGCCCAGATATAAAGTCACCTGGGGGCCCTGGACCCCTCAGTGACCCTGAGTCATCTGAGGGAACCTGGACCCTGAGTCACCTGGGGAGCCCCAATAGTCTCAGGTCACCCCGTCCCATGGTAGCTTGTAAAAGGTAGGCAGGAAAGACACCACACTATATCATATAAGCAGGAAAGGCAATTCATTGACTAATTGAGGCTGTCAGGTGTAAGTCGTAAGGAGCCAATGTATACAAATGCTTAAGGACTGTGGTTAGGGACTGTTTTCTCCCATCTTTCAGCTTTGTTTTCTTCCCCTCAGGGGGCAAAAGGACCACCAAGACCTCTGGAAAAGATCTTACAACTTCAACAGAAAAGAAAATTTCCTTTCCTAGTAATTTTAACACAAAGCCCCAGAATGAGGGAAGCCTGACATACTGCACCATGAGGTTGCAGAGTCGGACACAACTGAACAACAACAAGGAGAATGAATTTCATTGGGTTGACTTGGGTTATGACATTCTGAGCCAGTCTCTGGGACTGTCTGGCTTCACGTTCTGGGCTGGAGGTTTGGCCTCCACAAAGAAAATAACAATGCTCCTATGACTGTTAGGGGGCTTGGGTGCTGTGCAGGGCAACATCCCACATTCTGTGTTGTCAAGGATCAGGTGAGGGAGTTGAGCTCTGTGACCTGAAGCTATTACTGTAAATAGGTAGCAAAATAGTGATTATTATGATGATATCACTCTTACCAGTTCCATGTTACATATACTATTAGGAAAGCTGGACGTTTTGCTTTGTTTTGGATTTATGCTCAGTGGACACTCTCCGTATGGTGGCCAGCATACTAGCAATTTGTTGTGGGGAGAATGGGGAAGAGTAACAATCTGTGTAGCTCCAAATGCTTTGTCATCCCAAGAGACAAAGCACCCAGTTTTTTTTTTTTAACTGCAAAGAATTTCATTAGATGTACAGTTTTGAGAGTATTTTCCTTCAGAATTCTAAGTAAGCTCAGGGTGTATGATAAAGCATGTGTTGTGGTTGGCAGCTACACATCTTGGAAAGTTCTCACCAGGTTGGAATGTTCCTGTCTTTCCCAAAGGTCCTAGCATAGGTTTAGCTGGAGTGTGCCTGGTGGTGGTGGTTTAGTCGCTAAGTCATATCCGACTCTTGCGACCCCATGGACTGTAGCCTGCCAGGCTCCTCTGTCCGTGGGATTCTCCAGGCAAGAATATTGGAGAGGGTTGCTATTTCCTTCTCCAGGGGATCTTCCTGACCCAGGCTGATTCCAGCTAAACCCTTTGGGGATGCAGGATTCCACAATAGCTCGACATATGGGAACCCTTAGACCTTAGCACGTGAGTGTGTATCTACCTGCTTCTGTTGTCACCCTCTGCCCTCTCTTAGGCTCAGAATGATGACCCCTTCCACTCTTGGGGGGCAGTTGACTAGGACTTCCCTGGTGGCTCAGAGAGTAAAGCGTCTGCCTACAATGTGGGAGACCTGAGTTCGATCCCTGAGTTGGGAAGATTCTCTGGAGAAGGAAATGGCAACCCACTCCAGTACTCTTGCCTAGAAAATCCCATAGACAGAGGAGCCTGGTAGGCCACAGTCCTTGGGGTCACAAAGAGTTGGACACGACTGAGTGACTAAACTTTCACTTTGACTTTCCACTCTTGGGGTTTAATGATATGAGCCAGGCTGGCTCAGGCTCTCACACTAGCATCACTGCCTCCAATGTACACAAAGTCCAGAACTTTCTAAGCCTTCTTCTTTTCTAGGAAAAGAAGCACATTTCCAGCCTTTGGGAAAGAAGTGTGTTGCATCGATCATTCGGTAAGGAAAGCAAACCTCAACTACTTTGCCGCAATCCTGACATGCCCTTTGGTGGGGAGTATTGCAGAAAATGTGGGTCCAGAAGCAGCATCTCATGAGAGGGTGTGTCAGCCAGTGGGGTCCATGGTTTAAGGGGCCATGCAAGCCCCCAAATCTCTATATAGGGCCACCCACTGCCTTCCCCGCCCCTCAGTTCCTCATGATACCTTGAGACAGGGATTTAGGAGGCCTGGGAGAACCAATGCTGCCCCTTAATGTATCTGTTGTGGGCAGCTCTGTCTGCTTCTGGAGAGGGTGACTTTCCTTCTCCCCCTGCCTGTGGGTGTGGGGGGATCATATGGGATAGATGTGGAAAGTTTTGCAAACAAAGTTCTGTATGCAGACTGATGTGGATAACCACAGAAAGAGCAGTCATCCACCCTAGAGTTGGTTGTATTTCTCCATTTTTAGAAAGAGAGATCCAAGACTTGCTTATGGTAATGTGGCTGTAGGTGACTGCACATCCCAGCACACTGGGTCTGCAGGCTCTGTGGTCCCCCTTCAAGTGACTTTGGAGCATCTCAGGACAGTCTGCAGTAGTTGAGGCCCCTGTCCCTGCCCTTGCCCTGGATGCCATGTCTTAACCTTGCTCCCTCTGAGTGTGGATTTACCATTCAGAGACTGCCTTGGCTTGCATCACTAATGCAGCATTGCGTTAAATTCTGTTTTGTCTGCCTCTTGCTTAGATGTGCCCTGTCCCCAGCACTTTTCATCGAGAGCCCATCTGCTGTGAGTGCTTGGCCAAATTTGGGGGACACCTGCCAGTGCCCAGGGCTAAGGCAGAACTGCCTTACTGGGTCCCTCTCTCCTTGAGACCCCAAAATCAGGTAGGTGACTTGAATCAGGGGTTCAGATTTATGGAGATATGCTTGACATGTATAAAATGGCACACATATGAAATGTCCCATTTGATAAATCTTGACATATGCACACACCCATGAAACCACCACCATAATTGTGATAATGTACAGTCATCTCTAGATATTCACAGGGGATTGGTTCTAGGATGCATGTAGATACCAAAATCCAGGGCGCTCAAGACCCTCATATAAAATGGTATAGTGCAGTACATGTACACAACCCTGAAAGGTTTCCTTGTACCCTTTTCAAAATTTATTTGTGTTTTGCTGTGCTGGGCCTTCGTTGTTGTGCTCAGGCTTTTCCCTAGTTGAGGTGAGTGGGGGCTGCTCTCTCACTGCAGTGCGCGGACTTCTCATTGCAGTGACTTCTCTTGTGGAGTATGGACTCCAGTAGTTGCGGCTTGTGACCTCTGGAGTGTGGGCTCAGTGGTTGTGGTGCACGGGCTTAGTTGCTTCCTGTCTTGTGAAATCTTCATGAACCAGGGATTGAACCCATGAACCATGCATTGGCAGGTGGATTCTTACCTACTGAACCACTGAGGAAGTCCTCCTTGTTCCCTTTTGTAATTCCACTCAACCCTCTCTCCCCACAGTCCCCAGGCAACCCTGGGTCTGTTTCTGTCACTATAGATTCATTTGCATTTCCTTGAATTTTATATAAATGGAATCATATAGCATGTAGTTTTTTTGGCCTGGTTTCTTTTGTGGTGGTGGTGGTTTAGTCGCTGAGTCGTGTCTGACTCTTTGCGGCCCCATGGACTATATATAGCCCACCAGGCTCCTCTGTCCATGGAATTTCCCAGGCAAGAATACTGGAGTGGGTTGCCATTTCCTTCTCCAGGGACTTCTTTTACTCAGCATGATTATTTTTGAGATTCTTCTATATGGTTGTGTTCATTGATAGTTCATTCCTTTTTACTGCTGAGTAGTGTGTTGTTATATGGATAGACCATTCATCCAGTGAAGGACGTGTGGATCATTTCCAGTTTTTTTCTATTTTGTCCAACAAATAAAGCTGCTGTGAACATTTGTGTATAAGTCTTTGTGTGAACATGCCTTCATTTTTCTTGGGCAAGCACCTGGGAAAGGCATTGCTACATTGTATGGGAGGTATATGTTTAACTTTCTAAGAAACTGTCAAGTGTTTTAAAAAATGGTTGTTCCATTTTATAATCTTCCCAACAATGTATAAAGTTCCAGTTCCTTCATGTCTTCATGAACACTTGGTTTTGTGAGTGATTTAAATTTTGGCCATCTTAATAGGTGTTTATCTCATTGTATGTTTTTTTAATTAAAACATTTAAAAATTTTTGGTTTCAAAGTTATTGGGATCTCAGTTCCCTGATCAGGGACTGAACCTACACTCCAGGCAGTGAAAGTGCAGAGTCCCAACCCCTGGACCACTAGGGAATTTCCTCTCACTGAGGCTTTAACTTGTGCATTTCCACAATGACTAATGATGTTGAGCATCTCTTCCTATATTTTTACCATATGCATATCTTACTTGATTTGTGTCTGTTCAAGTATTTTGCCCATTAAAAAAGTTGTGTTGCTTTTTTTTTTAATTACTGAGTATTGAGAGTTCTTTATATATCTGGATACAAGTTCTTTATTAGATAATTAGTTTGCAAGTGTTTTCTCCACGTTTTTGACTTGTCTTTTAATTCTCTTGTCACTGTCTTTCAAAGAGCAGAAGTTTAAAATTTTGATGAAGTCCAATTATCAATTTAATAATTTAGTCTTTTCTGGATCTTGCTTAGGCATGCCCATCCCCAGAACAGTGGTGTATCATGGTTGCCTTTTATCAGGCTGAGGAACTTCACTTCTGTTTTTAGTTTGTTGAGAGCTTTTCAGTTTTCAGGAAGACCTTGTGTAGAGTTGGTGTTATTTTTCACTTCTAGCGTTTTTAGATGTTGGCCGTGGGTCTCTGTCTTATATGACAATGCACATGGCAGAAAGTGAGTCTTTCAGAGTCTTCCAAAAGCTTACCTCCTACCCTTCTCCTCCTTTTCAGGGATAAAACATTCCCAGAAGCCCAAGCTTTTTTGTCGCCTTACCCTCCAGACCCTTTGTTGGCAAGTGGGACTGGCTGATCCCTGACCTGGCTGCTTTGCATTATAAGCAAAGTTGGTTTCTTTTAACAAGAGGAGGAATGATTGCTGTGTGGGTGCCCTGGTAGTTCTCTTGTCATGTCTTTGGGACTCTCAGCAGGCATGTTGCTCTCTTGATTCTCCACCTAACTGCCCCTCTGGCCTGAATGTTCTCTTAGCTCTGCTTCCCGAGTCCCAGTGTTTCTTCTTAGTGCACGGTGCTGTGCAGGGAGCTGCCACGGGCAGGATGGGGTCTTGTTGCTTCTGTTGCAGCACCTACCATGGAGAATGGGCTCAGCAGGTATGGGTGGATTGGGTAGCAGTGGCCAGAGTTTCCTTATCCTGGCGGGCAAAAGGGTCCTATGTGAGAGGGATCGCGTGCCATGGTGACAAGGAGCCAGGGTGCAGGGAGGTGCCCGGGTCTCCAGGCCTCGTCTTGTCTCCTTTGGAGGAGGTCCAGGACTCCGTTCCTCCTTCCTGCGGCCGTGTCTGTGCTTAGCAGCACACCTTACACCCAGGCTCCAGTGCAGTCCTCCCGCGGCCTCAGGAGGTTGCAGGGGTTACTCAAAGTAGTTTTGATTATATTTTATAATGTGAGCTGTGAGCACATGGTTGGAAATTCCCACAGTGCAGCAGGGGTGTGGTACACAGAACTCTCTGTCCTGCCCCTCTTCCAGAGGTGTCCTCATTTGGCCTTCTGGAGGTTTTCTGTGCTTGTGTTGTTTGGCTAGCAATGTACAGGTTACCCTAAGGCCTGACTTGATACAGCAGTCACTGTGATTGCTCATGTGGCTGAGGGACACTCTGCTGGCAGCTTGGCCTCAGGTATCCCTATCTTGGGGTCAGCAGGCTGTCCCAGGCACTATCTTGTGGCCATGGCAGAGATGTGAGAGCAGCTGGACACCTGTGAGGCCTTCAGCCTGACAGATCTGGCTATTGTCACCTCCTACTTATTCTGTTGGCCAGTCCAGTACATGATCTGACCAGAGTCAAGGGGCAGAGCCTACTCTTCTGGAAGAAACTGCAGAATTGCAGGACAAAGGGTGAGGCTGGGGGTGGTGATAAGGAATTGGGGCGAGGATCTGACCCACCATAAATCATATACAAGCAACACTGCACACATATTCTTTTTTTATTTTTTTGATGTAAATGGTAGCATGCTCTATTAACAGTGCTGCATTTCTCACTTAATATTGCATCTCTATGCTCATTGTATGTCAGGACAAACAAATCTGCATTATTCTTTCCAAAGGCCATCTATTCTGTTTGTCCCTGTGTTCATTATTTATTGTCCCTTATTAACCAGATTCAGGCTGTTTGGTCACTACAGTCAGTGCTGCACTGAGTGTTCTTGAGCAAATGCACATGTGTCTTCATGGGATACAGTCCCAGAAGTGCAACTGCTGGACCAAAGACTATCCATGTTAGACTCTGATCAGTGTGGTCAAGATGCTGGCAGAGCCCTCTCTCTCGCTGAGGTCGCTGAGGCTCAGAGGGGCTAAGTGTGGTACTAAGGGTGCTCCTGGAGGCCAGCAGGTTCAGGACGGAGCCAGGTCTCCTGACTGCCCCCATGTGTCCCACCACAGCACCACACCCTGCAGATGTGCAGGTGGTGGGTAATGAGGGTTCTGACCACCCCTGGGAATATCATGATGGGGGGACCTGCTCCCTCAGCCGGCAGTCAGGGTGTACTGTGGGAGGGGTATAGCAGAGGCACTCTCCAGGGCCCTGTCCCTGAGGCTGAGGTTTTCTGGGGTGTGGCTCCACCCCCCTTTGGACCTTCTCTTCCCTTCCTCTGTTAGATCCAAAAGATGGTCCGGTCTTATATTCCCAAAACCACCAAGGCGTGCCTCTGCCCATGCCACCGCTTTGAGGGCCACCTCCCGATGCCTAGGGATCAGGCCGTGATGCCCTACTGGGTGCCCCAGGTCCTGAGGTCTTACAAGAAGGTAAGAGGGAGGCTCGTATGGCAGCAAGGCCTGAGAGTGAGGGGCGGGTTGAGGGGGACTCGGAGCCAAGGGGAAGGGTGCTGGGTTCCTTCCCCACAGTGGCCTCCATTGGTGTCTGGGGGTCTCCTCCAAGCTGTGGCCTAGGGCAGCAGAGAACAGGAGGCAAGTGGTACTCGGGGCAGGCCCAGGTCTGGTGTCCTGGTGGTGGTGGTAAGGGTGGGATACACTGTGCTCTGAAGAGGGTCTGCTGCCACCTTTCCCATCATTTCTTCTGCCCCTCCTCCTCCTCCTCTCCTCTTTCCTCTTCCCTCTTCTCCTCCAACTTGCTCACCTCCCTGCCTCTTTCTTCCCATCCCACCCTCCTGCTCCTTGCCTTCCCTCTACCTCAGTTCTCTCGGCCTGTCTGAGCATCCTGCACTTGTAGCCCCAGCCTGGCAGGCATGGAGGGAGGGTTCTGGGGAGGGGCTGTAGCTCAACAGTCTGTGCTCACTCTTCGGCTGTCTGGCTACCTCCACAGCTCGGGTTCCAGGTCAGTAGCTGTGGTGGGGTATGGTTGGCCAGGTCCAGCCCAGCTCAGTTCCAGGGCCACTCCTCTCCTTGTTTTCTGAGTGTCCTGGAATTAGAGGCTTCTGCCTTCACCCACATTCCATCTGCTGGTTTTCTGTCACCAAGTAGCAGTGTCACCAGAATTAAAACCTACAGGCCTTTTAAAAAGAGACCATAACTTGCATTCTGAGCTGGTCATGGACCCCTTTCTGGGGGTCTCCAGGCTAGATCACTGGGCCCTCCTCTTGGTGGATCACTGGGGCTGACACACTTGCCCACATTCTTATCTTTTATCTTAGGTGGTGAAAAGGCAGCAGAGTTTTAAAGGCATCGCAGGTAACTCAATGTACATGTGTCTCATTGCCCCCTCTCCCCAAGTAAGGCGGGATTCTCGTGAACATCATGATGGGAGTGGGGTAGACTTCTATCATGATGGGTATGACACAAAGAAGGCCACAGTCTGGCACACACACCACTTCTCTGACACCTCCCCTTACCAGGCATCACTAATCACGCCTCATCTTTTCCCAGTGAACCCAGAGAAGCCTCAGACTCTACCAGTTATCAATATTGACTCTCAGGATGAAACCAATTTGCAACCTGGGGTTAGGTGGTATCTGAAGTGTTTTCTAAGCTCTAATCTTCTATAATTCATGATATGACTTGTGTATGTATGTGTTGTATATAAATATGTATTTATTACAATGTATAAGCTTCTATGTTGACATATTTCTATATTCATGTATTCATGACATGTTGTATGTTCATGACACCACACTTATGCATATATTCATCATACAGTGTATACATATATTCATATGTTCATGACAGGCGTAGCATATCCTCACATGTTCACAGTGCTGTTCATAATCATGACAAGGTGTGTTCACATATCCTTATATGTGGCCTGATGTACGCATGTACTCATGTGCTTAGTCACGGTGCACCAGGAGATGGTGTCTCTACTTGCACCTTTACTTTCTTCATCTCTGAAATGAGCAGAGGTGCTTTTCCTCACAGATGGTTGACATGTCTGCTTTCTCTGCATTGCATGTGAGCAAGGGAGTAGACATGTTTTGTGCAGTCAGATCACACCCTCCCCTTTCTGTGCTGGGGCCAAATTGAATGGTGAGTGCCCTTGATGGACTCTGGAGGAGGAATTGGAGAAAACCGAGAGGCTGGCTGTCTGACAAGGGGTTCTTGTGATGCGCAGGTGATTTGAGTGGCCCACCCAGAGCTTGGGTGTGCGCAGATCGGGGTAGAGTGGTTGGGAAATGAGCGGCCACTACCTCTCATGCTCACCTTTTTATGTAGAAGATACTTAACTTTTCCCTGATTTTAAAAGCACAGTTAGGAGGAGCGTGAATTGTCATAGCCTTTGGCAGGAGGTTTGGAGGTATCGATCAAATTTTATAATGTGAAATATCTTTAATCCAACAAGCCTATGTCTGGGTAACATCTGTGGGCACTCCACGCATGTCTGTCTGTAGCAGTTATTTCTTTGGCAAAAAATTGGAAGCAACTTAAGCGTCTCTTGGTGGGAGGATGGACATAAATAGAGGTGCATTTGAAGTGTGGCACCAGCTACCTAGAGTTCATAGCTGTTAGGGACAATGAAATGGACCCCCCGACACATTGCAACGTAGGATAACAAGTCAGTGTAGCCTAGGCAATAGGACTCTGCTAGTGTCAATTTAAGGACTTCCCTGGTGGCTCAGCTGGTAAAGCGCCTGTCTACAATGTGGGAGACCCCAGTTCGATCCCTGGATCAGGAAGATCCCTTGGAGAAGGAAATGGCAACCCGCTCCAGTACTATTGCCTGGAAAATCCCATGGATGGAGGAGTCTGGTAGGCTATAGTCCATGGAGTCGCAAAGAGTCGGACACGACTGAGTGATTGAACTGACTGTCAATTTGAAAATGAAAGCTCTGTTCGTGTGAGGTGAAGGTTGGTTTCGTGTGTCTGAGCTGACAATCACAGGTAATCCCTGTGGGTGGGAAAGGGGCAGGTCAGCCCAGCAAAGAGAGGCTTTGGGGGTGTGTGTGTGCATGGTGAACAAAACAGATAGCAACACGTTGCCTCAAGTTTTAGGTGGAAGAGCCAGAAATCGCTTTATTAAGAAAAGTGGCATAAGAATGAGAACCCCCTGAGAAACTGCTCTTCTCACTGTATAGTCACCAGTGTAGTTTATTTTTATTGGTTGTTTTTGGCTTTGACTACTCTGCATCTTTAAGAAAGGGTAAAAACTTGGTCGTTTTATTAGTGAATCATGCATCCATTGATAACACTGTTAAAAACCAGTATTAATTTTTACTCCAGCTGTAGTTTTATAGTTCAGGTGATTTATGTTAATAATATTTCAAGCCTCAAACCCATTCAAGGACAGGAATGAGAATGTGTTCACAGATGGGAGTGAGAGTGCCAGTCTCACTGCCACTAGGAGGTTAGGGAGCCTTCTCTCCTCTGAGCTTCATACAGAGTGACCTAAAAATAAGAGATGGTTCCTTTGGCCTCAAATCCAGCTGATTTCCATTTTAGAGAGAAAATTCTGTTTCTGATCTTGTAAATAGAGGGCTCATGTGCTTTTCTTCTTTATGCTCTTGTGATAGAGTTTTTTTATAAAGAAAATATAGTTTATATTTATTAAGAATGTATTTTATATTGGTATGATTAGAGTGTACATTTTTAGTAGTAGTATATTAACAGCATAGTAAAAATAAATAAGAGATATAACATCAAGAGGGTCACATGTGACCAAAGCAGGTCTTGAAAAAGCTAAAGAGCGTTGAAGAGACAGAGATGTTTGAATTCCATTTGTGTTTATGGTGGTTGTTTACTGCTTATTGTGGGAAATTTCAGATACTCTTAAAAAGCCCATGTTCCCTTCCCTTGGCTACAGCCACAATCAACTGACCAACTCCTAGATGATTTGGTTTCTTCTCTGCTTCACCCACTCCATACCACCTCCAAAAAAAAAAAAAAGGAAAAAATTACTGTGGAGCAGATCATCGCTAACTACCTTATCCTTTCATTCATAAATATTTCAGTAGGCAGCTTTAAAAGGTAAAGACTCAGAAAACACAGCCACAAAGACCCACAATCACCATAGAAACAAATACCATAGCCATGCTCTCTTCATCTCCACGGGTGCTGCGCGAGTGCCCATGCCCCAGGACTGCGCCCTGCCTTGCTGTGACACCTGGTTTCTTTGCCCTGGTTTCCCGAGGGCTCTCTCATGGGTGCAGACTCGAGAGCACCCTGTCCCCACACCCCTTGGGGCCTGACTCACTTTCTCTGCCTAGAAGCTCCTCTGGATGTGCGCTCCGGGTACAACCGCTGGCGGATCTGTGGCGAAGGGCACCATCTCCTCAAGTGGCAGCAGCTCCAGGCTCTTCACCAGGCTGGGCCAGTGGCCTCGGGGCGGCCAGAAGCCCCCTCAGCCCCCCTCCTGCCCCTCAACCTCAGCCTCCTGACACTCCTCCATGCTCTGCTGAGGGTCATGGAGGCCATCCGGTGAGCAGGTGTGGGTGGGGCAGTGGTGGCCTTGGGCTTATCTTACATCCCGGGTTTTAGTTGAGTTGAGCGTGTGGGAGAACTTGGTTGTTGCTCAGCAGAGGGTGAGAGGTGGGCACTGCTCTGATTCCTGTTATGTTGTTACCATCGTCTGGACTGTTGCTCGTACCTGACACACACACCTTCTAGAAAATGCAAGGGAAGAACAAACCAGATACATCAAGGTTAGGGCCAATGGTATGGTGGGGGAGCATCTACCCATCTTTATTTCCTCACCTCTTTCCTGTTCTCAAGTTTCTAAATTCCCCTGCCCCCGCCCCCGTCCCCCCAAAGACCACTGGTTTCAGTTTCTGCAAACTTCTGTTGTGTTGGGGTGGGAAGTGGATTTTATGCCAGCCTGACCGGCCATCTCTCTGGAGTTTAAGCACACTACAGCCTTGGGGAACCTGCTGCCTCTCTCACAGTTCAGCCCCAACTATCAAGGCTCCATACTGAAAAGCCCTTTCTGCAGCCTTGATCACACCTGGCTTTGCCCAGTCCTGCATTTCTCACCTGGGACCCCACTCTGCCCCTGCCACCACCCAGGAAGCCTCCAGGGCAACCTTAGATTCATTGCAGGGCCTCTGCTTACCTGATTACTTGCTTTAGTCCCCTCAGTAACAGCTCTCCTCCTCTTAACGCCCCTGCCGCAGTTTACCCATGCCCCAACTACTACCCCATCTACCTTCTTCTTCCTGTTTCTTTCATCACACCTATATATAAATATATACAAACACACACCAATATGTAAATAGAAGACATGCAAATACATATCAATAGGTAAATGTGCACAATTAGAATTTACATATATTGACTTATTTACTTTTTGTCTCTCTCCTCCACCCAGTTGTAAGAGGAATGTTCTAGAAAATGTCCGGTATCTGAAAACAGTTTCAGATGTCTTTTGCCCAGTTTTTTAGCTGTTCAAATAGGAAACCAGCTCTGTCATTGTCACTCCATCTTGTCTGGAAGTGGAAATTCCTCTCCCTGCATCCTGCCTGGCCACTCTCCTAGTATTGGGCGCTCCATGTGGTCACATAGGACACCATGATGCACATTCGCATACAAGTGCCTATAGTGGACCTGGGTTGCAGCTTCTCCAGGGCGAGTGCCCCGAGGAAGGAGCCAGCCAGGGGTCTTTCAGCTTTGCATGATCTGAATGGGTCAGCACTGTGAGACTTCCTTCTTTGTTTTTCTTTTAAGTTTCATCTTTCTTTTTGTGTTTGCCAACTTGATGTCAAATTTAGTTGGACTCCCTAGTTCCCACTTTGGGAAGAGCAAAAATAGAAACTTTTCTGTAGATGGTCCATGTTAAGTATTAATAGGTGGTCCAGGTGGGCCAAAGGAAAATTGCTAATACTTTTATGGGAGGTGTTTGCTTCTGAGCCAGGATCTTAGGGCAGAGGTCAGGCACTAACCAGCTGTTAGGAGAAATACCTTACCTGCCTGGAGTATATGTGGGGTGCCTTGTGAGATCCCCCAAAGTGCACACCCAGTTTCTCTCAGAAGCTTCTGGCCCATCTGCTGGCCTGGCAGAGACTTGCTAGAACTCAGAGGCCATAGAAGACTGGATAAGCTCCAAACCTGCCCAACAGGGAACCCAGAAAGAGTAGCGATGAGTCAATCCTTGCCTTCTTGTCTGGACTTGCTATGCCTTTGTTTTTTTCCACAATTCTGCAGAGTTTGCGTTCTCCTTGGAGTCCAGAAGGGAGAGTGGGCTGAGGGGGTTGAGTGCCTCACCTCAGGTCCCACCCTGGATAGTGAGCCAGCCAGGGTGGCCCCCTGTCTTCTGCGTAGGCTCCTCAGTGACTGAGTGTGTATCCTCCTCTACCGCGGGGTTTTCTTCACCCTCCATCTCGGGGAGATTCCTCACATGGGCCCTACAAGGCCAGTGTGGTTTCATTTTGGGGGTCAATTCCTAGTAATTGCCTTTCTCTTTGCTTTCTAGCCAGCTTTTTTGGGTATGAAGTTGGAATCAACGGCAACTGTCAAGAACATCAACAAAAATGTCCATCCTCCTCAAGGTCTTAAACCAAAGCCATCAAATCAGGGAGAGTCTGTAATAGTCACTGTTCTCTCAGTCAATGCAAGTTATTTATCATCAGGTGATTTTTAGTTGTAGTGGAGTTGCCGTGAATGTGGGTGAGATTCCATTATGAATATGATCAATAAATGTTATTTGTGAAACTCTTAAAGTGATCACTTTTTAAAAAATGATTTCCTCAGATTTTCCTTTGTGAGGGTGGGACTCATTCTCCACCTCTGTGTCCCTGTGGGCAGGGAGCCACCTCTGAACTTCTCTTCCCTTTGCAAGGACAGCAGATCCTCTGGATGAGGATCCTGAAATGGCTTTAGCATCTGTTTCATGTGGGTCTCACTTTAAGTAACATAAAATTGTATGCAGTTTGTATTTTTAAAAACAGATATCGTTCACATACCATAAAATTCACCTTTTTTACAGTGATTTAATATTTTTTTTTGCTCTATTTACAAGGTTGTACAGTTGCCACTACTACCTAATTCCAGACATTTTCACCCCCAAAAGAAACCCTATACCTATTAAGCACTTACTCCTTGGTCCCTTCTCTCCTCACCCCTGGAAACCACTAACCTACTTTCTCACTTTTCCGATTTTGTATAGATGGAATATGTATCCTTTGCATCTGGCTTGTTTTCATTTGGCATAATATTTGCAAGGTTCACTCACATTGTAGCATGTGTCAGTTCTTCATTCCTTGTTTTTTATGGCTGGATAATAAGCATTGCAAGGACAGACCACATCTTGTTTATCTGTTCATCAGTTGGTAGACACTGGGTTATTTATACTTTTGGGGTATTATTAATAATGCTGCTGTGAACATTTACTTATGACTTTTGGTGTCAACATGTTTCATGTCTCTTGGGTATGTACATGGGAGTGCTGGGTCATATGGTAACGCTCTGTAATGTTTTGAGGGGCTGCCTCAGGTTTTCATGGTGGAAAACACTGCTTCATTTTATTTGTTTATTTATTATTATTATTTTTATAGCAAAGTTTAAAAAAACCTTAATTTTGGTTGCTCTGGGTCTTCAGTGCTGTGTGCGGGCTTTTCTCTAGTTCTGGTGAGCTGGGGTTATTCTTCATTGTGGTGTGTGGACTTATTGCAGTGGCTTCTCTTGTTGTGGAGCACAGGCTCTAGAGCACGCGGGCTTCAGTAGTTGAGGCACTCAGGCTCACTAGTTGTGGCTCTCAGGCCCCAGAGCCTGTGGGTTTCAGTAGTTGAGGATCACAAGCTTAGTTGCTCTGTGGCATGTAGCATCTTCCTGGACCAGGGATTGAACACATGTCCCCTGCACTGGCAGGCAGGGGAGTCCCTGTGTACCATTTTACATTTCATATTCCCACCATCAGTGTATGAACTTTCTGATTTCTCTGTGTCTGAAGAGACTTGTGTACACAGGGTGTTGCCATGAGTGCTAGTTGTGGGGTGCTCTTGCCTGTTATTTCTGCTCAGTTCAGAAATGTTTAGTGTGGGACCCACTCTGTAGACACAGGTGTATTGATGTTTCTGAGTGCTTCTGTGATGTGACCCCACCATGCAGCAGTGACAGGGCCTTCCTTCCCCGCACCTGCACCGGGCATGCCTCCTCCTCTTAATCTCTGCTAGGGTGAGAAGTAGAGCGTGCTGTTACTATGTCCTTAACTGGAGTTGCTTAATTGAGGTGTGAGCAGCTCCTCATACGTTTGCCAGCGTTTGTGCTGTCTCTGCTGCAAGTGGTCTGTCCACAGCGTTTGCCATCCCTTCTGCCATCTCACGTGGTTCCAGCTGAGGACAGCCGATGATGCCAGTTACTGTACTTAGAACAAAGCAAGACAGAAGAGCAAGGCATCTTCAACTGGAATGTCCTTGGGCTTCAGAGTGCAGTCCTGGGGGCTGAGGTCATGGTCAAAGGTGTGTGTGAAGCATGGAAAGTCAGCCAGGTGTAAAGCAAAGCACATGCTAACGTGTGTGGGCCCCTGAGTCACTAGCATTTATGAGCTGGGATGGTAAAGTATGAACCTTTATGGGCCTCCGACTGTCATCAGTTGACCCAATTGGGAACTGAGATGTGCCATTTCATAGACGTAGCTTTCTTCCTCAGGAGGTCTGATTCTACAGAAACTGAAAGCAAAGAAATGGTCAGGTGGTGACGATGCTAGGAAGAAAGGCAAAGCAGAAAAAAGATGGGTGGTGATTGGGTGGGGGCCCTCTCTGAAGAGGAGACCCTGGGCGGAGGATTGAATGTGGTGACGGTGGGGACAGAGCCCCAGACTGTGGGGTGACAGGTGCGAAGGCCCTGAGGATGGATATCCGTGGAGCATGAGGAAGCTTAGGAGCCCAGTGTGACTGAGTGGAGAGTGAAGTGGACTGTGGTCAGGGATGGCGGTCTGGAGGTTAGCTCAGGCCTGGTCCCGAGGTCTTGGCATTGTTTGAGGGTCTCAGGGTTTATTCTGCCTTGGAGAAGCCCTTCGGAAGCACCTGGACTGAATGGCCCCAGGCTGGCTTCTAACTTGCTCCCTCTGGTGGCCATGCTGAGGACTGACTGAGGAGAAGCGGTCTCGCTACCTAGGAGGGTGGGAATGAGCCTGAGCTCCTGGAGACAACAGGATTCGCCGGTGGATTGGCTGGGTTGGGAGAGCAGCGGCGCAAGGAGTGGGTGTGGTGGGCACCGTCGAGGAGCCACGTAGAGGTGCTGACATTGCTGTTAGAACTAAGTCTGTGTGGAAGGGGAGGTGTGGCTGGAGGTGTAAATTTGAGTCACCAGCTGGCTTGTTTTGGAGCCCTGCGGCTGGATGCCATCACGTGGGAGTTGATGTGGGTGGGGAGGATGGAGACTGAGGCAGAAAGGGGGCCAGCTCCTGTGGGTCCTGCCACCTGCCTGCTCCAGGTCATCCAGGGCACCAGCAGACACATCTTCTCTACCACTGGGATTTCTGGGTGGCAGAGCTGAGACTACATGCCATACTGAAAGACTGTGATCTGGTCACTAAAATGATACTGAGGTGTTCCTAAATGATTGGACATGTCGCATAGCGATAAAAATGGCATCTGATGTTGTTACCCCTCTGCTCTCTCTAGCTTCCTCCCCCTCCTCCTCTCCCATTCCCTCTCCTTCCTTCTCTCCCCGTTTTTACCCATTTTTTCTCCTCCCCCTCCTGCCAGTCTTGTTTCTGGGTAATCTTTCTGCCATCAGTGGTTATGTACTAGAGGCTCTCTACAGCCTAGGAGGGCCAGCTTCAGGATCTCATGGTCTGTGTTCTCCTGGGGCAGAACTGTGGAGGACCCCCTCCCCTTCATTACCACCACTGAGGGGTTGCCATGGACAGCGGTGCCTGGTGGGCTGTAGTCAGTCCGTGGGTTTGCAAAGAATCCAACATGACTGAGCGACACACATAATGGTAAAGGTGGTAAGTTTGTGCATTTTACCGTAATAAAAAATTAAATGGAAACAAAACTGAAGTCATCGGTATTTACCACTGGTGCAGATCATTTGCTTGTTGTGCTCACAGCTGTTCTCAACTCTGAGTGTTGTAGTCTGTGTCTCGTGCAGCCTAGGGGACCTGAGGGCTGGGATCTAAGAGCACGTTGGTGGAGTCAGCTAATCTCCAGGGCAGGGGGATCCTGTTGAATTGCTCTGCATGTTTTACGAGGTGCCTACTATGTGCTAGGGGGTCGTGCCAGCCACTCATGTGGTTCCAGCACCCAGTGTGAGGCCTCTTAATTGGCTTCAAATGTAGCTGTGGTGTTCCTGAGCCGCTTAATGACCTTGGGTAATGAGGTGTCTCAGGCTCAATATTTGTTTAATGCTTTATTCATGGGCACAAAACAGTGGTAACATTAACTTCAGGGGAACTTTAATGATGTATGTGTTTGTTGAAGTCCCCAGCTCCCGACCCTTAAGGTGCTAGATCTGTTTGGGGCCATGTGAAATGTTTTGCATCACTTACAAGAAAGAAAAAAGAGGTGCTGTTTTTCTTTGGGAAAAGATGAGGTATTTCACAGCCAAACCTTGTTCTCCTGTGGAACATTTGTCAAAGACTGCAGAAAGGAAACACATGGAAATTTCCAATACTTCTTCTAAAGGAAGGAGTTGGACTTGTCGCATCCCATCCACCCATCTCCCCATCTACTTTTCTGTCACAGGCTGAGGCTTGCTCTATTCCACCAGTCCTGGGGTCAGTGTGTGTGTCCAGCCAGCTGGATGAGGCCAATGATTTCATCTTTCCGAGCTCCCATTTCTTCACTTGCCAAGCGAGGCTGTGTTGGTGACAGGCTTGGTGACTAGCCGAAAGCCTTTCCTAGAGCAAGCAAGCCTTCAATGCATGTAGTCAAGTTGTAGCCATGACTGATAGTAATAGTAATATATTCTGAGATAGGCACTGTTTTCACCCCATTTTACATATGAAACTGAGGTAGAGCCCTCTGGTTCTGTTTCCTCTTAGAGCACAGATGTGAAATGTGCAGGAACCTGGCCGGACTGGACCCTTGGAGCTGCTCCTTGCTGCTTGAGTGGCTGTGATTTCTAGATCCCTGGGGACCCCCAAGAGTCTGGGATCCAAGGGCCTGCCTGAGAGGAGGCCAGAGGTTGTAATTTCCTACCTCTGGACACAGTGAAAAGATCAGAAACAGTAAGATCATCACTTCATTTCTTTTCCTGTTTCAATAGCTACCTTCCTTCCTACTCCCCTCCAATCATTCCAAACAAAGTTCGCTTGGGGTTTTCGAGCTTCTTCCTTGTTTCTGTCCTCCCAGGTGAGTGAGAAGCTGATTACGACTCGGGCAGGCACAAGCAACCCCTGTTTGTGCAATCCCAAATTCTTCCTTCTTAAATAAAATTTAAGACCATCTGAAAACGAGCTGCAGGGGTGACCTCTCAGCTTTGATTCTTGGTTGAGTTTCTGAAAGGCATATGAAGCTGAGCCTGCTAATGCGCTGAAATAATTACCCTCAGCTCCAGGGAGGTGTTAATGCTTGAGGTGTTCGCTTGCCAGTTGTCTTGAAGCTAGTGAGAAGCAGTGTCAGCCTCTCCCACTTACTGTCAAGTCACAGCCTTACCATCTTCTCCAGGCTTGCTGTCGATCCCAGTTGATGGCAGCCACTTGACTCTGGTCCAGAGGATGACGTAGGTGCCTCCACCTGTGCTTTCAGACGGTGTCCTTGGGGACAGACCTAGA